GGCAGCGGCGCGCAGGCCCGGGGGGTTGGGAGCCGCCGGCCGGCCCGCGACTGTGCTCGCCTCTCTGCTCCCCGGCTTCACGCCGGCCCTCACGCGAGTGTTACTTTTTTACCAGTCCCAGGCTTTCTTTAAGCAAGCCCGTGTGCATCAGTTCTGTGTATGGTCAGATTAATGTCAGTGAGGTGTTCGTCTGGCAGCCAGGTGGTGTAGTAAAATAAAAGGCCTGCTCAGACTGAAAAATGCTGGCATAATTATTTCTGGCATATAATAAAAGAGTTTGGAAAGTCTTACAATGGGCTGAAGTAATTTAAAATGTGCTTCCATTGCCCTTGCTTTAGATACTTAAAGCCTGAACTTCTGAAAACTTGATTTAGGCTTCTGAAATGTATGAGAACTTGATGGGATTAGTGTTAGTGTGGCGAGGGGAATAAGGTAGCTCTCGTTTCTGTAAGGCACCTGTGGGGCGCAGAGGAAGCTATAACCCTTCATTCAGACTGTTCAGCCCCTGCCGAGCAACACGTTGACCTCTCTGGGTGAATTACAGGAGGCTTTTGAATGGCACTTGAGTATTATAGTGCATCTAATTTAGGTTTCTTAGTGTTGTTATTTTTCGTGGGAGAAGCTGAACTTAAAATAGGAAAAAAGTATCTCCTTTCCAAAATACAGAGATGTGGAGAAGCACTCAGGTTCACATGTGCACTAGGTTACTAGAAACATAATGTGCCTGCTGGGTGTGGTAAACTTAGAGGTTAACCTGGAGGCAAGAATTAAGAAGAATTTTTTTAATGAAACCATACAGAAACTGGCTCTTGTTTTCATGTTTCACATGTGTAAAAACACATAGTGTGGGTGGTAAAGCTCCTGTCAGAATGTCCACTACTGGCGCACAAGTGCTATGGATGGATTCAATTAAAGACAAATCCAGTAGTAGAATAGTTTGTTTACAAAATATGTAAGTTTTATACTGTTAGATTTTTATAGAATGGTGAAATTACTAATATGATTAGCTTCCAATAAATAGGTGTAAAACCAAATAAGCACACCAGTTTAAAAGTTCTTTCCGATTTTGTTTGTCCTCAGACTGCTTGTAAATGATATGCATACACAAAACACTAATAGAAGCACTGCTTTCCCCCCTGTGTGTTGGTGGGGGTGTGGGGTGTTAAAATGGAAAGAGCAAAAATCAAATTTGTTGCTTGCTTAATATGTCTTGAACAACCTCTAATAACAAGATTAAGTTGACCGCATTGCTTTTCCCTTGGTACAGGGCCTGAGGTTTGAGGTGGTTCCATCCTGGTTTAAGGAGACGCTTGAAAAGTCATCTTTTGCGGCCCCTTATGAGTATGCTGTGGAAACAGCAAAACAGAAAGCTCTTGAAGTAGCAAACAGAATGCATGTGGTAAGTTAGCAGCTATTTCAGCAGTGAGATTTTTGTCTTTAAGCGGTGCACACTGCTGTGGCTTGACTTGCCTGTACTACTTAGGGGGTCTCCGAGTGCTTTTCCTCCACTAAGGGGAAATGGAATTTTTCAGTCATTGTGAAAAATATCTTCGCCTAACCAAAAAAAGGGTCTCGTGCTTGCAGTTCGGGCTTTCCACAGACAGAAGTGGCCTGCATCTCTTGTCAGCAGTGCACCTGCTCTCGCTTGCCACATGTACTTGGTAGTTCCTTCCAGCAGTCAGGTGTGTGGCTGGACAGTTCTTCATTCCAGGTGTTTGTTGACTGCAGAGGCACGCTGAGGAAAAACACCCTGATGTGAACCCAGTGCTTTCCTGTAGCTTCACTGAACAGTAGTTTAACTGAACAGTTGTGACTAGAGAATAGAGGTGCCTGAGGGAAGCAGAAAAACACGACCCCTTCTGTTTTGGAGCGCTATGGGCACAGAAACAGGCAATTTCATTTTAAGAAGGGAGAAGCTGATGTGGTTTCAGGTTCTGTAGTCAGGGCATCCGTTTTGTATCCTAACTTTATCACAACCAGTGGTGCAGCTTACACCCTCAGTGGCGTATTTGCCTTCTGCCTTTGTGTGTGAGTACTGTGTTTGAGAACATAAGGCTGTTCTTTACCAGAACTTATTTAGCTGATTAGATCCCACCAAACGTTCCCTTGCAATTTCTTAATAATATAGCTCAGTAGGAGAGGAGTATGTTTGTGAAACCTATACTGATGACTGAAAAGGAGTGTCAAACATTTTAAACCAACAATGTTGCCAGATGTCACCATTCTTCAAAGCAAATATTGCATGATCTCCAGTGTAAATCGTTACCCAGGTTTCTGTCGTCTCCTTTTCAGAGAATCATGCGGCATTAGGAGAGTGGATTTTAAACCCAACCTCACAAACTGACTTACACTGGGCTTTCATTGCAAAACACTGCTGGGAAAAGTGCTAGTTCAGAGGATTTCAAAATGCTTCTTCATAGAGGATTTTTTTTTTTAATGATAGCTTTAATTAGTTGTACTATTTAAAGCACATCAATAGCCTTTCTATAGAAGAAACCCCTCCCTACGAAGTCTTAATACAGTGATCACAGAGACAAGTTTCCTGCCTTGCTGTGTTAAATAGTAACTATGTACCTCATAACCTGCAAGTAAATCAAGACTCAGCTATAATAGCACATTACAGTTTAAAGCCAAGAAAAGACTACAACAAGTGTTTATATACTCCTACCTCTCAGTTGCCCAAAATGGACTCTGTATGTTCCTTTTTCAGAGAGATAAGCGAAGTGTAGGTAAAGGTTTTTTTAGCAAAACTTGGCTTGGAAAAATGATCCGAGAGGGCTCAGCACATATAAATAATTACTATTTTGTAAACAGTGCAAAAGGAGAAAGTGTCTTGGGTTTGGGTGAGTGTAGAGCCCCACCTGTAAACCAGTGAACTTATGTTTTCTTACCTTAAGTTTTAGAAGGTTTGCTCTTTCTACCCCTTTTGAGAAATATTTCTTTATGTCTTTGCAGAAACACCTGAGAACACCTGATGTTGTCATAGGAGCGGATACTATTGTGGTAAGAATTTTCGTGTGGTTTAGCATTGCATTAGCTTATGACAAGTGTAGAAAATACTTGTACTTTTAGGTTTAAAGTTGGAAAACTGTCTTCACTGAGAAGTTATGCCTGCAATATGATGCATCTTTTGGGTTTTGTCGGTGTAGGTTTCAGGGTGTTTTTCCCCAACAACGCGATTTTTGGTATCTTGAGTGCTAGAAGCCTTGCTGCTCTTTTTGCAGAGACACTAATATTGCTTAAGTATTGCATTGGATCCTCTCATATGTCATAGAAATTGTGTTCTCAGGCAACTCTTGACTGTCAAGAAGCTCAGGTCATGTGAACTGCTCAGTGTTGTGCCTTGCAGCGGGCATCACTTTATACCTGTCATCTCCACAGAGACAGTGAACAGTTAAGGACCAAAGTGGAATGACCCTTTTGTCTGAGAGCTGCAGCCACTGGAGGGTGGAGTGTTGCACTCATCATGTGCTTGACACTATATTACCTGTTCTACTGAAGTATCTGCCTCTTGCTCTACTCAGTAGACTCATGTTTGAAGCCGTGGCTGAAATCATGGGTTAAATGTGATTTCTGACCCCAGCTTCTGAAAAGTAAGAAAAAGCATCATGAGCCATCTGTCTTTCTGTTTTAGACTGTGGATGAGCAGATCCTGGAGAAACCAGTTGATAAGCAAGATGCATATAGGATGCTGTCAAGGTCTGTAGTTTTAAGTAAGATTCCCAATGTGCATATTAAGCTGTTTTAAAAGGAGCTGTACAGGTACATTAGTTTGTATGAACTCCTCTGTGGACACAAATTTTTTAATCTTTTTTAAAGTGTCAGCTAGTTTTGCCACTGAAAAAGTTAGACCTGCTTGTATGTTATGTGCAGCTGCTTGCTTTTGCCCCTTCACCGTAGGAAGCTGATCAGGGACACAGTGAACCCTGATGTTTTCACTTGGATTATTTTTCAGTGTCACTGGTCTCAAGACTGTATCTATACCTCAGCTGGTACAGGAAGGGGAGTTATGGAAAGAAATCATGATGGGAATTATGGAAGTGGTTTGAGGCTTGACATTTAATGGAAGGATGTTGCATGAACGAGAAAGTACATGGCGATAAGTGTTCATGCACAATTGCTTTAAATTCTGTAGTTTAACTGAGGAAGAAAAGTCTGCTTCCATCAGTGTTCTCCATGGATGGTGGGCTAGTGTTTTTTGAGGCTTCTGCTTTTTCCTACAGGATACTTTTTCCTACAAGCTTAATGTTACCTTGTAGCACTCTTTCTTTTAAGACACACCAACTGAATAACTCTAGTCACCCCCTTCCTGAAGGGTGATGTGGTGACTCTACTAGTCACGCTTCTGTTTTATGGGTGTAATACAGAAAAGGTGCACTGCTTGTTTCACCAATTTACATTCCAACTCTGGTGTCTCCTGGAGAGGGAATACAAGTGGCTTGGTAGTGTTTGGAGTTTTGCTCTGTAAGTCTACTTTAGATTTTTTTTTTTTTAATTGATGACTTAGGCTGGATTTTTGATGCTTTGGCATATTACTAACTTGAAAGTAGTAGTCTTAAAAAACAAATAACAAGAAAAAACGGCAGCATATATTAATAGGAGATTCCTAAAGGAGTTTGCCTAGCAAGAGATTTCTCACAACATTTTTGCTTGAAATCATGCCAAGTTCGCTTAGTTCAAAAATAGTATTTTTGTTTTCTTTTAATGGAGCTTAGTCTGCTTATAACACACTTTTGGTTTTGCATTTGTGGGTTTTTAAGTTCAGTAGGTCAGTCTCAATCATGGACATGAACTGCACTTAAAATGTGTTTTTTAACACTCAATTTTGTTCCGTATGAACAGGAAAAATGCAGACGATACATATTTGCATGTGTCTAAAATCTCAGATTAAAATTTTCACTCACTCTTTCATCTTACAATTAATTATGTGGAATCTCGTGGGGGATAGATGCTTCTGATCACATCAAATTGTAGCCTAGCTAATCTCTAGGACCCTGTCCCTTAATTAGCCGCTCCAAAGACTCGGGTTCCCCTGCTGGGTGCTGCCTTCCCGTGCTCACACGCTGGCTGGATAAAGCCGTACCCCCCGGGCCCCTGGGCCGCAGCGTGGCGCTCTGGGGCCGTCGGAGGAGCGAGCGCATGGGGCTGGCCCGGGGAACGGGCGCTCTCTGCCTCTGCGGCTGGTGGGCCGGCTTTGCGCGG